TGAGCTGGCCAAGGAAACAGGGCATTGGTAGTTCATGCCTATAATCCCAGTGCTTGGGAGGCTGACACAGGAGGATCTCGACAAGTTTGAGCTGCACAGCAAGACCCTGTACCAAATAAATAAATAAATAAAAGATTTTTAAAATTTTAAAAAATTAAAAATAAAATTGACTGAAGTGATAATTGTGCACAACCTTGTGAGTATATGAAACTACTGAACTTTATATTTTAAACAAATGAGTTGTATAGTATGTTACTAACAAATGTTAATAAACGAAATGCTGAATAACTCCCAAATGGGTTGCCAGTTTTCACAAATTAAACTATTGTTATCATATGGCTCATAGTAAAAACTCACTTGTTACATACCTGAAATTTAAATTTAATCAGGCATTCTGTATTTTATCTAGCAAATCCCAAATTTCTTATTTCCAACCTAGAACACAATTATCCTCAGTTCTAGATGCATGTACTCTATTATATAATAGGCAGTTCCATTTGATAACGCCCCAAATATCAAACATTAACAAAGTTATTTCTCATTTTCTCTGAGAAGATAGTCAAACTATGTAAGAACTGATACTTTAAGGCTTTCAAAGACTTGGAGATGATGTGTGAGCAACGGCACGACACCAACACCAGTGGTGGATCACAGTTAAGAGGAGTTTCATTATGTTAAGGAGCCTCACCCAAGCTACGAGGAGCACAATAATCTTTCTCTCAGAATAAAGCCGAGCTCCCCTTTCCCAACACTTCACCACCATATCTTGGCCCAGGAATCTCATGCCTTACCCAGTCTCTACAGCACCTCAATTTGCTTCAAAAAGAAAAGTCTGTTATCTTCACTACCCTGCTTGAAACCTTCCAATGAACAGCTCTCACTGTCTTGGTCTATATGCCTTTTGTGACTTATGAAATCATTCAAAAAAAATAGGTCTCTGAGCCTGACATGGTGGCACATACCTGCTGGGAGACTGAGGTATGAGTATCACAAGTTGAAGTCCAGTCTGGGTAACTTAGCAAGACTCTGTCTCAAAATTTAAATTTAAAACAAAACAGAACAAAAATTTAATGGGCTATGGATGTAACTCATTGCAAAGACCCTGGGTTCAGTTTCTAGAACCCAGAAAATAAAGCAATTTGGTGCTTCTTGCTACACTTACTGTCCACACCCTTTCTTAACTCACATGCAGCCAAAGGAGAGTCCTCACACAGTGCTTAGTCTCAGCCAGGACTCACTCCTACCTCTAGGCATCTGCATGTTGTTCCTCTTTCCTAATCTCTCCATCCCCATAAATTCTTACCAGAGCAACTCCTACTTAACACCCAGTAGCTGGCGGAAGACACCACTCAGGCTCTAAGCATCATCTGCCGTGCAGGGCTGTAAGTGCCCAACTATAAGCTCTCTTGATACTAGAGATGCCACAGGGAAGGGGCTGTCCCTGCCAGGCGGGGCCTTTGGGCCCTAATGGTCCATTCAGTGCCTGGCATACAGGAAGGACTCAATGGCACAAATAAACTAATCAATAATCAAAAGTTAAAACTATGTAACTCAATGTTATAAGGGTCTACCTGAGTCACCTTAGTCCTTTTCAACTGAAATCACAGAAATAATTCAATATGGAGAAAATTTTTATTTAAAATGTCAATTTTTATCTGCTTAAAATATTTTAAAATCTGAAAAAGGATAGAGTTCAGGTAACCACTTTTTCCTCCTCCATCACATACATGTATGTCCACATATATACGTACATATACCTATACACAATATATACATACGTACGCAGCCACTTAAAAGAGTAGAGGAAAAAATGCAACTATTTAAAAGACAATCACAGTTGATATTCTCATCCTAGAAATGTAACACAATTGTGCTTCAGGAACAGAGATTTCTTGATGAAATACTACAAGCTAACTTAAGAGAAACATTATTTTTAAGCAAGTCTTTATGCCACATCTAGTTCTACAATAGAAAGACTACAAAAATATATAGAACACAACTAAATAAAATTTGAAGCAAAGTAATCTCAATTGGACAAATGCATAAAAGATAAATTTAGAAATGTTAGGGCATAAAATACAAGCTTCACAGCTTTTGTATATTTGCAAAGGCAGTAAAACATGGCTCTATGTCCAGTGGTCTCTTACGACACTCACCAGATCCATGGTGCAAACCCAGTGCCGGTCTCGGCACCCCCACGTACACCCACGCCTGGGATGTAGCATTTCTCAGATCCTCTCTCAGGAACATCTTCCTCTCATGTTCAACACAATCTTGAGTTCATGGGTGCTTTTATTCAACTTTTTTATCCAAAACTTTTCCTTTCATAAGTATAGTATCTTCAGCTTACAGATGAAGATCATCCTATTTCTCCTCAGGGGGAAACTGGATGCCCTAGCAGCCTGCCGTACCTGCTACGTAGAGTGTAGTGCCAAACTGCCTCTTTCTAACTATATTTACATTACATCTAAAAGTCATATTAGTTAAAGCCACATGATTACAACTGCTTTTAAAAAGATCTATAGAAGATAACATAACTATGAAGATTCTGTGTTGGGATAAAATCAAATTTTGTGTTCTCTGCTATCAGTTCTAAATCACATACAAACAACTTTAAGTTCAGGCAAAGGGCATAAAACCAAAGTGAATTTTGAGTCACTCTAAAACAAATCTTTTCAAACAAATTCCTTTTGCTCTACTAAGATTTATGTACAAAAGCTGAAAGCTCCTATCCTGCAACCTTAAGTAGAGGCACTTGGCGTACAGTTAAGTGGTTTGTTCCAGCTGTTTGTTCCTACAGTCCCATGAGCCTGCCTCCTGGAGGCGTTTTAGATGTTACATATTTAAAACTAACAGAATGGGTCAGTTGAAGGACATTCTTGAGGTCTGCATTTGATCAAAACTGGAGGCAGGGAAAACTGTACAGAAATTAGAAATATACTACAGACACATGATTTAAAAGTAACTTTTAAAATACATTTCAATAGAAAATTATACAAAGGATTTGGTGTTGGGCTTGGTGAAGCCAGCGTGTAATCCCAGCACTCATGAGGCTGAGGCAGAAAGATCAAAATGCGTTTGAAGCAAGCCTGGGTTACAGAAGTGAGTACAAGGCCAGTCTACTTACTATATGACAAGATCCTATCTCAAAAAAGTAACTTCTGGGGGCTGGAGAGATGGCTCAGTGGAGTAAGTGCTTCCCTGGCAAGTACAAGGGCCTGAGTTCAATCCTGGTTCCACAAAAAAAAAAAAAAAAGTAACTTCCCCAAAGACATGGAATAATACATGTGTTAACTGTAACATCCATTTCTTTGCATCACTGTTTTAAGAAACCAGATACCAGTACCCTTCAGAATGCTTCCAACCACTGGTTACTGACATATGCCTTGGAAAGCATCCTATGTTTAACATTCAATAGCTAGTGTAACTTAAGAATTTGTTTCATGCATTAGTTCTGTTCTTTTCAGAGAAAGAATCATCCCTGTAAGTTCTTTGGTCCTCCACATGCTATGATAATTAACTTTTTTTCAATACTTAATAATGACTACTTCATTTATTCAGCTATCAAAAAATTTCAATCTTTACTATTTTATCTGAAACTTCCAACTTTGCCAACAGACATTCTGACTTCCATTTTGTTTTTAAACAAACTGTGATAGTATCAATGTGATAATCAAATAAATATGCATCCATTATTTTAGTGTATGTTTATTCAATGCTTAAAGAATGACAATAATTCACATACTACATTTCCATTCCTTCTATCAAAACAACCAATACAAGTTAAGTTAATCCTTAGCTATTCAAGTTCTGTACATTGTACACAGAAATACTTTTATGACTACACCACCGAACCAAACTTCATCAATAGTAATCCCAAGACCATTTCTAAACCCCCAAAATAACTAAGCTGCCTAGAACTATTTAGAGCACAGAGATACCTTGGCAAATACATTATCATAAAAGAAGAAATAAACATTCTAGTCTTAAACATACTACAAGAGAAATCCCATATATCAACTTTGGCTTCCTGAGAATTGTTACTGCTCAGAGCACGCAAATCTCAGTAACTGGAAAACAAGAAAAACAAACAAAAAATTCTCCTGTTCTATAAAGCAACTGAAGCTTTGCAGTGGCTCATTTACAAATTCTAGACGTCAGTTAAAAGTCTCCCATCAAGACAGACAACCGTAACGAATTCAGCTAAACTAGCACAGGTCCAGATTTCAAGGGGACACAGGTTTCTACCTCCTACAGACTCAAGGAAGACTCTAAATTTATTTCAGCTTGAGTTAAATGAGAGAAAATGCAATTCATATTTCCAGAAGCAAGAGTGGCATATTTTCCAGTAAGCTTCTTGTTCTCATTTTACTATTTTAAGAGTTCTGACAGGGTTTCTATAAGACAAGATCTGGTTCCTGGTGGCTGATCGTTTTCAAGGCATGATGCTTTACTAAAACTGCCTCCAAAAGCTGGTTTTATTCGCATTTAGCTTCAGTGTACTGTATTTATCTAGAAAATACCACTTTGATGGAGTTGGGCCAATACAAGAAACAGCTTACTAGAATTTCAGTTGACTTTGTTAAAGGAAATTATTTTAAATTAATGTGGCTACTGAACTGCTGCCATTCTTGACCTCAGAAAATAGATTCCTTCTAATTTTTGCTGTGAACATTTATTTATTTAAGTTAAATTCCAGCTCATGAATGTTGACTAGAAAGGAGTCTAAACCTTCCCTGCCACTATTTCATATTCTTTTTCTACACAAGGCCAACCACATGTTTGCTACATTAGCATGCACAGCCGGATGACCACCATTAAGTGAAATCATCTATGTATTTTTGGTAGAATCTTTAACAACATCCACGCCTGTCAGTGAAATGGAACAAGGCAGTTTTGTTTTCAGAAAGCAACAATTTAATCTCTGGTTTACTAGATGTCGCTCAAAATCTTTTTCCATATGTTTTTTGCAAAGAGAATCTGACATCAGCATGGTTTACCTTTACCAGTGAATGCAGGCTTTTTTCACCAAACATATCCCAGAGGAAGGTCAGGTCTTCCTGGCTATCCACATGTGGCTGCAGCTGGGCTGGCAGAGCAGCCAGCAGCTCATACAGACCTATAAAATGAAAATAAAACACAAAGCGTAATCTTAGAGTGATCTCATTAATTTCGTGTAAGGTGTGTGTAAATGACGGCTGGAACATGTCGTTTTTACTGGATTTGTATTCTTGGCCATCAAGCAAAACACTTCTCCAAAGAAGCAAAGGAAGCTTTCTGATTTTTAAGTTCCAAAGAAGTATGCACTACCAGTTGAATTTCTACCTTTCACGGCTGTCAACATTCTGCAGGCATCCAAGTTTACATAACCCAAGACAGAAAATGTGTACAAGTTTTCAAAGAAAGAAGAAAGCGCATACATTCCTTTCCTTAATTGTTATTACATTTCCTTTAGTGTTAGCCAAAGAGTGAAATGAGTCATGATAGGAAAAACTTCCTTAGGAGAACAGAAAGTTGATAGAGTGGTCCATTAAAAAGGTTTTGGAGTTTCAAAGAATTCCTATTAACACATAGCTTCAAAAATGTTTGCAATTCTCACACCCAAAATGAAGTTCTGCCAAGGAAGACAAACTGTACATGATCTACATCACTGTAATCAACCATTGGGAAAAAAAAAAAAAAAAAAGCCCTATGTGAACTTGGTTTAGAGCTGGTGCATGCAGTGTTTATCTGATTCCCCCTGAAAGGGTTAATGCAGCAGATGCATCGGCAGGCTCGCCCCTCCAGCAGCCTCTCAGCTCAGACAGTAGCACAGTGTTCCACAGTAGCCAACGCAAGCCCATCCATCTCCATCAAGCCCGTCACACTCCTGTCCAAGAAATGTTGCAACAGTGCTTGCCCAAGACCCTATGGGGAGATGACCGGGCAGAAGGCAGTTTCAACTCATAGCACATGTTTCGTTGTCCAGTGGGAATTACACGAGGTAAAAAGGACAGCATTCCTTTTATTTCTGTCTGCTGTCTACAAAAACACCATGACCTCCTGGGAAGGACAGTACACGGGACTGTTGTTATTTCTGGTCCAAATAAGCACTGCTGTTCATCAGAAGGACAGCTTTACAAGATCTTTACCTAGTGAGTACATAAACTGCTACTCATTAGTGCATCTATTATCTTCCTAAAGCATGACCAAACTCTGCTGATTACTGATAATTCACAACCAAAGAATTAGGTGTAGAACTTGTGAGATCGTACTAAATCGAAACACTCCTGGGGCTACATTAGCCTGAAAAGGAACACCTAAAATACACACACACACCTAATTACATTCTCTCTCCACATACATGTGCACACACACACATACACACACACACACACACACACACACGTGCTCAACAACTGCCAAGACCAGTGATTAAAATGAGAAATTCAAAATATGAAATTATATAAAAAGATGGTGGAATTACATTATCATACTACTGATCTCAGGAACTGCAAAAATAATGACTTATGCCTTGTAATATAATTTAGAGTTTAAATAAAGACACCATCTGCCTGTGATACAACTTAGATGGTATAACTGCTGAGAAGATTAAATGATCAATGCCTTAAAGCAGGTCCTATCACATAGTAAACACTATGTTTCATATGTAATTGAGTGAGATTCAGCCACTGTTGTTATTATTACTGAAAAAGCAAACCAGTTCCAGAGTCACACACTCAACATGTCTACACTTACAGCATTTCAAGGAACTTATATAAGTCTTGTCTCTCTGTCATGTTTAAAATGAAATGACAGGCTACATATGTAGTAAAGTTGCATAGAGCTAATTAAATAAATGTACATTAATGAGTGCACAGAAAACTGATGAAATCTGAATAAAATAAAAAATGTGTCCTATTTTATCTTGTGCTGCTATAACAGAATGCCACAGACTGGGTATTTGTGTGTGTGTGTGTGTGTGTGTGTGTGTGTGCGCCTTAGTATGGTTAAATAAGGCATAGTATGGTTAAATTTTTTAAAAATTATTTTTGTTAGTAGAAGCACATAAGCCTGAGTGTTCTGGTCTTCATTAGCTTTATGCAACCTTTATACAGTCCTACCTCATATATAGTACATGCAATGTATATTCATCTTGCAGAATAGGCACTGGTACATAACACAGCTTGTCATTTTTTTCTCTTTTGACACAGGGTCTTGCTTTGTAGTTCAGATTGGCCTTGAACTCACTATGTAACCTAGGCTTGCCTAGAACTCACAACAATTCTCCTGCCTCAGCCTCCTAAGTTCTGGGAGTACAAGTCTGCATCACTATTCCCAGTTCCAGACTGAGTAATTTATAAAAAAATAGTTGACTTAGGTCCTAGCTCTGAAGGGTAGAAGTCCCATATGTTGGCAAGTGATGAAGGCCTTCAGTTGTGTCATTCCAAGGTAGAAGGCAGAAGGGCAAGAACTCACTCTTACAACAAACCCACTTCCCCACTCCTGAGGGAAGAGGCCTTGTGACCCAGGCTTCTACTATGTGGCCCAACCTGACACTGTCATACTGGGATTAAGCTTCCAGCAATGAATTGCAATCAACTCTGGAAGAAGACTTGCAAGTCATGGCAGACAGCATCAATGACAGTTCCCTAGTTTGTTTCTCTGCAGAAGTTCTACATCATGTTATTAATGGAGGAAAGTTATTACTGGTGGGGGCCTATGAGATCTCTCCATATCATTTCTTAATAACCTATGAATTTACCATCATCTCAGAGCAAAATGTTAACACACAAAAAAAAAAAAAAAAAAAACTGGTGAAAATGGTTATCGTAAGAATTCGGTAGAAAAAAAAAGTGTTTATTTTCATGGCTGGCACAGATGAGGCACTTGATAAAAAGCAATATTTTCTTTTCCTTCACACATCTTCCTCCAGAATGAAAATGCCACTTCAGTTCAATGGGTCAAAGTCAAACTAACATCTTAACCATGCAGTCCAACTGGATTATAACACCACATTTGGAACTAAAACCTCCCTTGTCTCTTACATATGGAAAGTGTTAACTCACTGCCTAAGTACAGCTTATATTTTGTAGAATAAGCTATAGTATGGTTAAATTTTTTTAAATAATTTTTCAGTTAGTGGAAGCACATAAACTTGAGCATTCTGGTCTCCACTAGCTTTATGCAACCTTTATATAGTCCTACCTCATATGCCACAATCCAACTCACTACTGATGACAGCAGTCCTTTCCCTTCAGCTGCCACATGTGGTAACCAAGATCAATGCCAACCCAAAATCAAAAAGGGGGTAAAAGAACCAATAAGCTACACGTGTGTGCAGTCTGAATGCAGGCAACACAAAGACTTCCACTTAAAGCAAGTATGGGGGCCTAGACACCATCTTTATCCATGCATCAATTCGGGGCTGTGTTCAGACACATGTTTTAAATACTACACTTAGTTCCTAGAGAGGAATACTACAATACCCACATGGTTTTGGTCCTGGAGATGCACAGGAGAACAACAAGAGATATTTGGGATAACACGACACCAAGTACACATGGGAGAAAATGTTAGGAGCCAAGGAAGGTGTTCATAATGACAGGAACTGACTGCAGAGAGCTACAAAGATGTTTTAAGAGTTTTAAATAGGTTACTGACTCCTGCTATGTGAGAAATAAATACTGTAAGCTAGTCCCCTTTCCCGAGGTATTTTATATGGTGAATTCTGACTGTATGAAGTCATGCAGACTAGTTTACTAATGAGAATGCTTTCAGTGCAATATGAAATAGTTCCCTCTTAGCCAGTTCATTAAGCTACCACCTATGTAGACCATCATCTTAATTTAACTTCACTGGCTTATTCACTTGATTGGATTTAAATGTGCTATAGTTAGCTTCCCTCTCTAGTCATGTTTTAAATTTATCTATCGCTTTTCCTTAAAGATAAAAACCATGTGCTCTGAGGCCACTGAATTATCTGATTGGACTTACATATGCTGTGTCTTCCCTGTAGCCATGTTACATGAAAAAAGAAATGTGTCTCTCATGATCTTTAAAAATAAAAGATCATGAGCTCTTCCCCCAAGAATTTGTGTGTGTTTCGGAGGCTTTTGAGCCCTAGACAACACAAGAGAGGATCAGCAGCAGTACTTGACATGGAGTTTCAAATATTTTACTGTTTTGGAATCCTCAAGGAAGTGGTCTAGCAGTTTTTGTTTGCCATATTTAGGTAACAGTAGTACTGAAGCACTAAGATCATTTTCTTTGATAATCTATCTTTATAGAAGATATACTAAAGGCAAGTGATTTGACCAGAGATTAGGAAAGGCAGACAACACTAATGTAACCCTTAAGAAAACCTAACCATGTTGGATAAACAATTCACTTATCAACCCACTTACCAGAAAATAATCACAAAGTGTCACTATCTTGCATTAATAAAATTTTGTTACCTTTTAAGATTACTGAACTACTAGATTATATCATAGTACATTTAACTGTGGATAAAAGCTCCATTATCATTGATAGATCCCCATCAACTCTTACCTTGCCCAGTAAAATTAGTTATTAAAAATGACTACTTCAATCTCTTCTACCTTCAATCTATCCTGTCTACCACTAATTGACAAAGCTTCCTAAAATAATACTGAGCAATAATTATTACCAGTAGCGATTCCTTTATTTTTAATATACCCATTACTTATAGAAATATGTTATATAAGTTCATGAGTTATCTCATTTAGTGCAATTATTAGCTCTGTGTCACAGCAGAAAATGCCTTTGATCTATCTTGTGTTCAGTGGCACATTCAGAACTCAGTTCTATCATATGCCTCCTATAATAATCTCATCCATTTATCTACTAAAAAGTCTTTAATGGCTGGGGATATAGCTCAGTGGCACAGCACCTGAGGTCCTGAGTTTGATTCCTGATATGAAAGAAAAATCTTCAAAGACTAACTATAATGAAAAAGCTAAATGTCTTAACTGATACTCAACTTACAGATAGAGCAAATATTCCAAGTGTTTATGAAAATTTTTAGCAGAAATTTTCATAGACTATTTTGACCGTGCTGGATGGAACAAGAAAGGCTTTTTTCCTAAACTGACAAGGAAGAACTGTGAAACCATAAAA